CTCAACTCGCCGAGTTAGCCCATCAACTCGTCGAGTTCTTTCATGAACACCCTAAGTCTGAGCCTCCCTAATCAAAGCCACAAGTGGAGAATCCATAGATATCCTCATGCATGCCACCTCAATAAAAGGTCCAGTCGATTTACAGTTTAGGACATCCGCCACCACGTTCGCTTTACCCGGATGGTAATGGATCTCGCAATCAAAATTCTTGACTACGTCCAGCCACCTGTGCTGCCTCATGTTCAGGTTCGGCTGATCCATAATATGCCTCAAACTCTTATGATCCGTGTAGATGGTGTTGGATTAGGTGTCTAAGCCCATAACTATTTTTGGTATGTAGTTGATTTGATTGTGAGCATGGTCCTTTTCGATTGCCTTCACTCATGCAACTTGATAGGATGACAAGTGGAGAGAGAGTAGGATTTATTATATGAATAATAAAGTGGTACTCAAAATGGTTTTATTAATATATTATAAGATTAATATATTATTTGGAAATCATATTAGTTAATTAGTATTGATCTGAAATTAATTTGGAATTAATTTAGTGATCAAAAGAGACTGATTAAATGAATGGCGACTGATATTGCAAATCACTAACAGTTGTAATTGGGCTGATGGATCACCTTTGAATAAGGTTGGACGAATTCTATGGGAAGCCCATAAAGAATTCATCCAATGAGTATTCTAGAAGGTGTCCATGGGTTGCTTAAGGCTTAAGCAGTCATATTAGGGTTTCCACCTAAAACCCTAGCAACCACAAGTATAAATACACCCCAAGACTAATGATTTTCGGCCCTATGCTTTATGAAACCCTAAGGTGGTTGATTTATAGCATCTCTCCTCCCATCCTTTTCATTAAGTGTTTGTGACTCCATTAGAGGTGTAACACTTGGGGCACTAAGCTTTCAAGTGTCAAGGATTGAACTTGTTATTGTTACATAACAAGCAAAGTTACTTCATAACCCTAATTTCATTGTGAATTTGATTATTGTATGCTAGATCTAGGGTTATTTCTTTGGGGTTCTTATTTGCATGTTAAATAGAGAAAAACTTAGATCCAAAGCAATTAGGGTTGCATGTACACCATAGGAATGTTGTGGTGCTCAAAACCCATTAGTGGTATCAAAGCATGGGTCATTTTTCTATTGAATTGGTGCAAGAGTGGATTGACAAAAGAACAAGAAATCGAAAATTTGTGTTATCTGACTGGTGAACTCGACTAGTCCATGTATGGACTTGACGAGTTAACTTGTCTGTCAGCTAAAATTTCGATTTTCAGATCCGATTTTGACTAGGATAATTACCAAAATTCGTTTTTACAATGGTAATATGATATCCTTATCAAAATACTAGATTTGGTTAAATTTAGATAATGAGATGATTATTTTGATTTAATATTTAACCTAGATTTTGAAAAGTTTCAAATTGCACCCTTATGGTTTGTTGTTTGGATTTGGAATTAAAAAGTTTTAATTTGTGGTAATTTAAATAGTTAAACCCTAGTATTTTAAATAGTTTAAAAATACACCCTCATGGTTTTGTAATTTAAAATTTGATTAAATAGTTTTAATTTTGAAATCTTAAATTTAGAACCTTGGTATTTTGAATAGTTTAATTTACCCCTTATGGATTTTATTAAATTAATTAAGTGTTTAATTAAAAGAGAAAATTAATAAATCCATAATAATATGGTTTAGATTTAATTAAATTAAAAGTCTAATTTATTAATAGATTAAACCACTTAGTATTTTAAAGTTTAAAATACACCCTTATACTATGTAAAATTAAAAGTCTAAGATATTATATGTGTATAATTAAAGAGTCAATCTTACCATTAGTAGGCCTCATTCACGAATCCGATCTATAGGGGGGGGGGGGTATAAGAAAACTGCCTATAAAATGGTGGTTGAATGGGTGTCCGCTTTCACCCACCACTTCCTTGATTGGTGGAGGGTCGTTAGCCGAACGGGTAGGATAGGACACAAAACTCTCATAAAAAAGTATAAGGAACATACAAAGTAACTAAACCTTTTATAAATTCCCAATCCTAGTTACTTTAGGAAAAATGTGAATTTGATGCTAACCTATGAGTTTTTCACATTGCACCTTATTAGTCGTTAGTGGAATGTGTGTGGCTAACCAGCACACTAATATGGGACTAATGAAGGATGGAAATGGATAGCTCGTCGATTATCATAGAACAATGGAGTGTGTGTGGTTAACTGACACATTGATTAGGTGATAAATGACTGCGAGAGTAGCTCGTAGATTATCATGGATGTCTAGTTTTGACAACTATGGTCTTCCTGAATCTTTTGGAAAAAGCTTTCTTCATGAAGATGATGTTCCACGTTTTGATCAAGGAACTAGAAATCATACTTCACTTCATCCACCTCCAATTATTCTCCACGACCCACATGTTCGTCGGCTTGAAAAGTTCAAGGTCACTCAAGCCCTATTGGCAAGCAAACACGAAGATGGAAAGTCTGTATGTGCCCACGTCTTGGAGATGAAGTTACATATTGACAGGTTGGGAATGTTAGGTGTCATTTTCCCGAGGAAGTTGGTTGTTGACTTTGGTTCTTCAATCACTTCCCGAGTCGTATGGTCAGTTTTTTAATGACTACTATATGACAGATCACAACGTGACCCTTATTGATCTCACATATTTGCTAATTGTTGCTGAATCAGTAATGATTTGGCTCACTGGTCAAGCAAATTTGAATGGAAGATTTGCATCCTAAATTTCTGTGGACCCTAACAGTGGCAAATGTGATAGTCTAGAAATGGTTTCTTCTCCTAAAGGAGAGAAATCGGTCATGATCGAAAAGTTTGATCATAAGAGAAAGGCTGAGTCTGAGATAATCCCATGTACCATTCCGAAAGAGTCTGTTTGTTTCTATTGCCAAGGGAAGGGGGATTGGATGCGAATTTGCCGTATTTACCTGAAGGATCGCAAGGATGGTAAAGTCAAAATGTATGACTTTACTTCAGGTAAGTCTATTATCTAACTCTATTAAGTTCTCGTTTATAGATTCTTAATACATGATGTGATAAGATTGCATTTTGATGTTTTGTAGGATCGAGGAAAAGAAAGGAAGCTTAAAGGAAGAGTAAGCCGAGTCTGATCGCGAAGAGATGGATTTCGATCGCATGGTTTGTAACGCCCGTAAATCCGGGCTAGTCAATTTAGAGATAATAGGGGTCAAAAACGACTTTTCAACCAAATATTATTTAGAATAAATAATCTTAACCAAGTTTTAGAATACGTCTCGAGGGTGTCGTACATATAAAGAACGTCGAAATACGAGTTATAACGAAGAAGTTATGACCCGTCGAAGTTTTACGGCAAAACCAACACGACACCGGGAGACGTAAATAGTGAATTTACGCTGGAGGTATTTTTAGCCTTAGTAATCTAAAAAAAGTCGTAGAACATGTTAAACTAAGAGCATCCATAAAAATAACGACCAAATCTGACTTCGTATGAGGAAGTTATGAATTTTCTAACATTTGGCATAGCAATGCACGACCCGAAACTCGAAATTTAGTTCGAGCTGTTTTTGGCCTACGTGACCTAAATGAGAGTTGAAAATCTCATTAATAGGAACTCAAAGGTAAAAAGACAGACAAAAACAGAGTCCGTATGTATAGGTTATGAATTTTACGCGGACATTTAACAGTATAATCTCCTCCTACTGTTAAATTTAAGATCGATCGAGAATTAGCCGACAGAGTCTAAATGAAAGTGTTAGATCTTGTTTTTACCTACACGCGGATATAAAGAATGTCGAGAGTAGAGCTCGTATGTTAAAGATATGGACGAAACTTGGTCCCTACTCTTCGAACGTGATAAATTCGATACAGTTTTGTAAATCTAAGATAGAATGAGAATTAGTTGACGACGTCTAAATAAAAGTTGTAGTACTCGTAAATACCAACGCGTGGATATAAAGAACGTTAAAAATGGAGTTCGTATGAGCGAGTTACAAATTATAATAGCATATTTATGTATTAAAATAAAGTATAAATCATATATACGTACACACATATATACAAATGTATATATCATTAGAAAGGTATCAACGATGCAGTTATTGTAAGGCTAGTGTTGAGTACTTTTGATATTAGTTTAGTACAAATATCGTTAAATCTATTTAATATAGTATTATGAAGGGGGTGTTTAGTCGTTTATATAACTATAAGGTCATTAAGTAATTATGGAGGGTAATTTTTGTAAATTCAATTACTATAAATAAGAAGCTTGGGCTCCCATATTTCTTGCACCATTCTCTTGATTCAAGAGTCTTTCTCTTCTTATCCCCTGAGCATTTCGGTCCCTCGTGATTCGACTTCTATTTCTGTAGTTTTAGTATAGTAAGGTGAGCGTTGAAGCGTTGCAAGAATCTTTCTTAGAAAGATTCAGTGACGAAGTTCTGCCCCTGCAGAGCCCGACTCCTAGCTAAAACCCCCTTGTAAGTAAGTTATGTTTACCCTATTATAATATAGCTTATATTTAAAATTAGTATTGTTATTATGAACTTATAATAAATATTTAAGCTATTATTAAATAAGTGTCATTATAATATCTTTTTAACTACTCGCGGTATGGGGAATCCGGTTTAAAGGGCCGCATAGGGTTGTTGGATGTCAGAAATACTATATGCCAAAATGGTCTTGCTCTCCGGTGTTTTATGTCTGGCCCCTATCTGTACATAGTGGTTGGAAAGTATTTTTAAATGCTTATATAATAATAATAATAATAACTAGATTAGTTACCCCCGCTTCGTGGGGGGCAGGGGGATCGGTTGTAATTTGTTTATAGCGTATGTCGTGCTTCGTTAAGTTATTCAAAAGAAACAGTGAGAAAACATAAAAACATCACGTCATAAACATCAAAAGATATCATTTCTTCCTTAGTGTTTGATTACAAAAGTGTCCATTCATTAAGAGATAGGTACTAGACATTTGATTACAAAAGAGTTGGCTTAGTTTCTTCATGGGACCTGGTGGTCCTTGATGATTTTCTTGCAGACCTCGGTAGCTGATGCCATGTTCTCTTGCATTGCCTGGAAGATGTCAAGCATGATCACCGTGTCTTTATCGAGATCATTGATGAAGGTTTTGGTGACGACGACATGTCTGTATGGCATTTCATCGGAGCTTCGTTCATCATGTTTTGTCTTGTTTGGTTGATGCAGTTGAAAGTGTTTTGTACCATGGCAAGCATTTCCTGCATTGTCTCGAGCTGGTTTTGCAGTTTGTCCATCATGGTCTCCATCTTCTGTGATTCATCTTTGGTGGAAGGATGATCAATCTGGTGTGTTGTTTTATAGCTGAGGATTATGGTAGTTGGACTGCATTTATTGGAAGTCATTAATGAGTTTTCTGATTTGTTATAGATGTAGGGAAACGGCTACCGTTTTTCCCCTTTAATAGATGGATTTGATTGTTTCTCACAAGTGTGGTATTAAATGGACTCTATCTGGGGAGATCTTTGACCATTGAAGATATCCTTGTTTTGGAAAAAGAGAATATTTGCTCTTCAGAATTGGTATATGTGTTCTATTCCGGTAGTTTTTTTATTATAGTTATTGTTTTGATCGTAGAAGCATTTGGGGTGAGTTATTAAAGTGTATTCATTTATGTAATATTTGTCTGATTTGGTATGATATCAAATTCGTATATGTCATTGTATCTATAGTATTAGATATTGTTGGGTGAATGTTTTATATTTAAAAAACTATATATGGTTAGTTGTTTAATGAAATTATGGTTGTCTTGAACTATGCAAACGGTGTTTCTTTATTATTGTTTATATTACATAGGATAGTTGTTACTGTTGTTGACTACATAGGGAAAATTGGTATCCGAATGAGAAGTTGGAGTTGACGGTTTTCTTTGTTGTTGGTTGTTACTTCGTGGTCCTTTTTAGAAATGATGTTGTTGGTGGACCTGTGATAGAGGAATTTAGGAAATATTAGTAATGTTTTTTGTAAGTTGGCGTTTACTTTTGACATGATAATATTTTCTTTTACCTGGTGGAGCAAAGGTGAGGGTGCGTACGACAGGGCATGCAGAATCACTTGCTTCAGGTGTTTCGTTCTCCGATCGGATTCTTTTTGTCATTGTTTGTGCGGGTGTTTTTGGGACGGGTGGCGTCGGTCGTGTAGGTGACTGTTGGATGTCGATTATTATGAAACGAATATTTTCAGGAGTTGATGCTCTCAACATTTGGATACACATTGTCATTGTTTGTTCCTTCTGATTTGTCATGATTGAAGGTAGGGTGTTCCTGTTGGTGAGTGGGTTGTCGGATATGAATTAGTCGAGTGATGATTTTAATAGCTTTCGACATGATGTTTCAGATAGTATTGTGGGTATGGTATCCGTTGGGTCGACAATTGTAACAGTCAGCTTGTATCTATATTTATAAACAATATGTAAATACTACGATTAGCGAGTAGTGGTATATTTGTGTGAATTGGAAAATGATTACATGTAGCCTGGCTTTTCTATTAGACCATGTACACTGCAGAACCACTGGGGGCCTCTTCTGAAAATCGGATCTTTACAGGTTGGATATATTGTTTGGTACCAAGTGTTTTGGAAGTGAAAATCCTTGATCGAATCGTTCACTATGAAAGTTTTGTCCTATAAAAGGGAAGTCATTGAATGTGACAATCTTAAACTGACTGTGTCAGTAAATAGTAATAGCATTGTTTTCATCTTACCAGTAGGTCGAATTTCGTTTTAAGTTTAATTTGGTATAAGGTTGCGGGTGTTCCCGATAACGTAGGCATTGGCCTTGAGGGACCTGTGTATCTGTAATGTTGTTGCTGTTGGTATACAATTTCATTGATATATATGGTAAAATAGTTCGGTAATTTATGTGACTCACAGATCTATGAGTGTTGTTGTCTCTGGTATATCGGGGTTCACATAGATATGCGTTGCATGTGACGATCCGTGTCGTAACACTCCTGAATGAATCAATGATATTTTATAGTTAAGGGTATTAGTAGATGTGGTATAATAGTAGTGATGCACATACACACACACACACACACATATATATATATATATATATATATATATATATATATATATGTAAATTTGCAGAAGACGATACCATAGGATTTTGACGGTTTTGGGTTCGTTACCGCAACAACAGTTGTTGCAGATAGGTGATTTAGGGAGTCGCGGTTGAATTTCTGTGTATTTGTTATACATTCCTTCCATAGATTAATTGCGAGTTCACTGCCACTAATAGAATATGATTTTGTATGTGGTTAGTTATGGATAATGAGTTTTATATGTGTCTTTTGGTGGTTACTATATATACCTTTTGTCACTTAGTATAAGCAATACAAATGGTTCTCCATTTGCTTTTGTGCAATCCCTTATTTTCGAAAGAACGCCTATGAAGTCTGTTCGTAAGTAAATGCATGAGCTGCTGTCAGTGTTAACAACTTTGAGAGGATGGAAGTGGTTATTTATGGTGTAAAATGTACCCCTGTATTGGTTGGTAAGTTACTAACTTATGCCGGTTTTCATATAAACCAAATATATTCAGGTAATAACGAAAATATTACAGAAGTTTGTAATTTAGTGGTAAAAATAAGTTCTATATTTTATACAAGTAATGTGTAGTACATATTTGTATTTTGGTTATATAGATAAGATAGTCAAAAACTGGATAGTATGATGGTGCTTCTCCAAGTTCAATCAGTTGCGGCTTTGAAACGAATCGAAACCAGGTTTTTGGAATTGTGATTGTGTCTAGAATTCGTTGTATGATGGACTTGAGACCAACATCAATATAGATATCGTTTTCTAGAACCTTCTGATACTTGTCTAATTCAGGACAACTATAATCCGATATAATATAACATTCGGAAACGTTTAAAACAGATTCAATGTAGCTCTGGTTTGTTCGTTGTCCAAGAATTTGGATTGCATCTGATTGTAGAAAGATATTATCTTTATATTAGATTCAATGGCAGTGATCGTGTTTTTGTTTTTGTATACTTGCATCATGTGTTAAGTAAACGTGTTTATTTGGGCAAGGAAAAAATTGGTATTTCTATATGAGCTTACGTATTTGTCGACGGCCAGGTACCATGTTTCGTACTGTCGGATATCATGCTTCCATTTGTGTAGTATTCTAACCTGTAAGGGGCCTCCAATACCCTCAGCTTTCAGCTCAGAAATTGTCGTCATTTGCTGTTTGCGTTCCCTGATATAAATATATATATATATATATATATATATATATATATATATATATATATATATATATATATATATATATATATATACAGGGAGTGATACTGTAGACCTCTGTTGAAAAAAGTTTGTGTAGTAAATCTCTGTAAATGACATTTTTTGTTTCGTTTGATCTACAACTGTCAGTGCCGGTAAGCAGTATTCTTATTGAATCTGGTGATGTTGCTCAGGAGAGGGCAGCATAAACTTGGCCATGTGCAAAAGTAGGCTGTGGCAAATAGATTCCAATCTTACGTACTGATTGACCCTGACTCTTATTGATGGTCATTGCGTAACAGACTTTGACTGGAAACTGCTTGTGACAATAGTCAAATTCGGGTCAAGTCTAAGTCGAACAAAGTCATCAGGTCAAACTGGTCAACTCAATTAGACCTGGTATATTAAATTTTGTGTTATGTAAATACTGTATAACCCACTATTTTAATGAGAAAACATCACTTGGAAAAAAGTCGTGTGTTTAATTTTCCTTAGCCTTAGTGCTAAACAATGAACAAAAACGATGAAACAATGGTACATACTCATCGGGAGTGTGAAAGATCCTAAATCATGGCTTAACGGAATTCACGAACCTTGCGTTGTGGAGCCACACACTCACAATTGTCACACATGAAACCTCTCTCAATCGTTTTCACTCTATCTCTCTCTATTGTCAAATCTCTCCCAAACCTCTCTAAGAATGTCAAATCTCTCCCAAATATCTCTTCGTATGAGAAATCTCTCTAAGAATGTCAAATCTCTCCCAAATATCTCTTTGTATGAGAAATCTCTCCAAGAATGTCAAATCACTCCTAAATCTCTCCAAGTATGGGAAATCTCTCCCAAATCTTTGTCAAAAGTTCCCGTAACTTTTCATAGCCTTTCGGGCCATCCCGACTCTTAACCGGGTCAAAAACGGCTTGAAACGGGGTTAAAACGAGTAAAAGACCCTAAAAGAACCGAAAAACCCTTAATAAGGCCGAAGCCTCTTAGGGCCGAATTCTTTGGACCGAAAGCAGCAAAGAACCGAAACCCTTAGCAACCAAAATCGAGACCTGTAGCCGAAACTTGAGAACCGAGACCTAGAACCGAACCCGAGAGCCGAAACCGCCAAGAACAGAGACCGAGTCTCGGTTTTCCTTCCCCGTCTCTCGGTTCCTTCTTCCACTTTCGGTCCTCTCTTCCACTTTCGGTCCTCTTTCCGCCTCTCGGTCCTCCCTTCGCCTCTCGGTCCCCCTCTTCTAATTTTGGTTCTAATGACCAGAAGGTCGAACCTCCGGCCAGACTTCGGGATTTTGACATTTTTGGCCCATTTTCAATATTTTTCACATTTTGAGCCTGTTTTTAGAGATTTTAACACGAGATTTTCTCACAAACTCATATTTTAACATAATAAACCCTAAATATTCATAATTTAATCATATTTTCATGAAAATCTTTATTTAAATAATAAAATCTAGTGGGTGAATAATTGAGGTGGAGTGTTGACTTTACTTTACCTTATGACACAAGCAACCACCCCCATACCCACTCTATGACCAGCCACACCTTCTCACCTTACCTAGGTCACTTCAATGTCCTTTCCTACTCAATTTTCAGCCTCTCCCACGTTCTTAGAGCTGAAACAACCCATCATCTCTCATCACTTCTTTCATTTTATCTCATTTCAACAAACATACAACACAACTTTTCTCTCAAACTTTATCTCTCTATTTCAAGACTCCAAGGCTGATCTTCAAGCTTTATCCTCCCCTTGGTAAGTATAATTCATCCTCCTTGTGATTATTGCACCTCATTCTACTCAAATCATTGATTGCTTACACAAACTCCATCACTTCGATGTTAGTTTCTCGAAAATCTTCAAGTGTTCTTGAGTTGATCACTTCCATTTTTCAACAATCATCTACTGAAATCACATAAGGTGAGTTCATACCCCTACATTTTCATATTTTCTTACGTTTTAAGGGAGAGAATACAAGTCAAATCATCAAGAACACAACTAAATATTTCTAACACCTTACATCAGAAAAGTTGGACTCCATTCACGAACTGTTTTGGTCAACTAAAACATTTTTTTTTCAAAACTGTACAAGTTGCAAGTAGTTCAAGTTCTTAGCTTTAAAATAACTACTTGCACACCTCCATACGATTTTTCTACAATTTATGGTGATTTTTGCAAAACTATCTATCATTTCAAGAACCAAACCGGACCAGTCTGTGTTTATGGATGTTTTCACCACTAAAAATCATGGAAAAATTTATGAACAAACTAGACTCATTAACCAAAATCTCAGAATTTACAGATTCTGATTTGGATCTTTTATTAAGTTTTTATAAATTTTCTAATAACAGTGATCGAAGCTGTTACAAACAGAAAAATGCTAACATATTATTATCACCTTGTATCATGTTGAGCAAGGTATATATCCTTATGTGAATGTATGTTATTACAAAAGAATGATATTTTATCTTGGTATATGATCATGCATCAATTAATAAATGGATTTTGATATAGATATACATATAAAATACAAAGGATAACACAATTGTTATAATCAAATTACATCCATTTTACTCAAACAATTGAATGAACTACGTTGAATATAGATTACGTACGTTACCATTACTACCCTTGTTTTGATAAACTATAATAGGTATTGTTTATGATTCATCACATAACACACTCATACAAAAGGGTTACACTCATACAAAAAGGTTTTACACTCATGCACACTACACGTAAACTTGTTAACTTAATTAGTGAAACAATCTCTCCCCATACGTCCGAGTATGGGATTCAAATTCCTGTAAGTTATAACCAGAGTCTCTTGTAGGGAGAGTGTGATAATTGTGTATAGATCTATATTGGGGTTGACATCCCACACCTCGCTGCTAGCTACAGCCGGACCGGCAGGTCTGCGGGTGACGAGAGTCATAGGATCAGGACGTCTGAAAGACGTTGTGTAGGT